TCTTCCTCCCTACCCTCTAGGTAAGTCTACTGCACTTACCACGCAAATACCAGAATGTCCTTGTTTGTCATTCCAGGCTGGAAACTGTCCAGCAGCCTCCAGAGCCACACCCCAACCTTCCAGCCCAGCACCCTGACTACATACACCTCAGGCTTCACTTCCTGCCAGTCCCTGCCGTGAGCCTTCTCGACAGTCTGAGCACGTGGAGCTTTACACATCTCCATGCCACTACGTCCTCTTCTGTGTGGAATATACTTCCCCACCTCCCCTACCCCAGTCCATCTGTCACACTCTTCAAGATTCAGTCCAAGCATCATCTCCTTGGCTGATCAGCTGACAAAAGCCACAATGACAACAACATTGTCAAGGTAGCAAGGACCAAGGGCAAAGGGCAAACTCCCTGCTGGATCAAAGGCCAGACCTCCCCGCAGCATCTCTGGAGAGCCTGGCTGGAGCTCTGCCCTGGAGAAGTGTGTAGGAGGAGGTGATGACTGCTCCTCATTTCACCCCTCCATTCTGCTCTTCCTCCAGCTCAGTTTTCTATCACAACACCAACAGGTTTGGGATCCCCTTGGTCACACGTGTGTTCTCAATTAATGTATTTGAAGACTTGTTTTAGTTTTTAATACTGTGTGTGCATATGTGTCTGTGCACATGAATGCAGGTGCCCTTGGAAACCAGAAGAGGGTGTCAGGTTCTCTGGAGCTGAAGTTACAGGTGACCGTGAGCCATCCAAAGTGGATGCTGGGAACCAGACTCAGTCCCCTGCAAGAGCGGGTCCTCCATCTTAATGGCTGAGCCGTCTCTCCACCTACATGTTCTCTCGGTAGATGCTGAGCCAAAAATGGGCAGCGTTTGTCTTCATCATCTCTGCATCCCCAGGATATGATTTAAAACCCAGCACATAGTAGGTATGCAGGATAAATGAGTATACCTTGAATTCTCTACAAATTTGGACTGTCCCTTTCTCTAAAACGACACTCAAGATTTGCTACCTGAAAGGAAGCGATTCTGATTCAGGAATTCCTTGGACATTGAAGCCTGACTGAGCATTGATTATGTACCAGACATTTTCCAGGCACTGGAGAACTGTGGTTCCATGCCCAAGTTAACAAAGAATAACCACAGTCTTCTCCCACCGTGCCTCGGCCCCCACGTGTGACACACACCACCACTTTATTTGGCACTCAGTGTCACTGAGTCCATGGTGCCCAGTGCTTGGTCTAAGGTCAAACATGATTCACCCCGTGTCTAACGGGGAGCAGGTCCAGAAGGCCCTGTTTTATCTTCAAACAGCACAGGACAGTCTCAATGAGGAGACTGTCCATGGCTGGGACCACTGGAAACCCAGCAAGTCCCAACTAGGGAAGATGTGGTATTTATTTTACAGCCTCTGTGTGCTCCCTGGACCTGTGGGTTCTCCTCCTACTCATATGCTGTTTTCCAGTTATATTATTATTATTATTATTGTTGTTGTTGTTGTTTTATAAATATGTGAATCCTGTCTCTCAACCCACACTCTAAGTTCCTCAGAGAAAGGGGACATCGTGGTATCACATCAAGTCAGACAGTCACTTTCTTTGAGTCCCATCTGTGAAAGGTAACACCCATCGTCAGCTTGACTGCATTAAGAAGTACATGCCGTGGGTGTGTCTGTGAGGGCTTTCCAGAGAGGATAAGTAAAGGAGGAGGACCCACCCAGAATATGAGTGCTGCCAGGTGCTGTGACACAGACCTTTACTCCCAGAACCGAGAGAGGGGGAGGCAGACAGATCTGTGAGGTCAAAAGCCAGCCTGGTTGGTCTACATCTTGAGTTCCAGGCCAGCTGGGGGCTGTATAGAAAGTTCTGGTCTATTTTTTTTTTTTTTTTACAAAGTCAAAAGAGAAAGGCAGCAGCATTCATCCCCATGCTCTCTGGCCTGCTGAGGTATGAGTGGGCTTCCTCATGATCCTGCCGGCTATAATGATGTATGTCCCCTTCAAACTGTGAGCCCAAGCAAATCCTCCTTCAGCTTTTTGTTTGTTTGTTTGTTTTTAGATATTTTATCACAATGACAAGAAAGCGACCCATCAACCACCTCGGCTCCGGGTGCACACTTGGGGTGAGGAAATGACACTCACCACCACTGAGAGCATTTATCACAAGGTCTCTTCGTGAGACACAAACAAGAAGCCTGATGTGAAGGGCTTCTCCCATGCTTCTGGCCAAGGAGAGAGGTTTCTCTTCCAAGTCAGTGCATCTCTTTCGACAAACGCTACCCTCAGGTTCCGGCAATCTGAGATAAAGTCGGGAGGAGGTGGATTTGACACTTTCCACTGGCCTCCAGCTTTCATGTAGATGTTTCTTTCTCTTTCTTTCTTTCTTCTTTCTTCTTTCTTTCTTTCCTTCCTTCCTCCCTCCCTCCCTCCCTCCCTCCCTCCCTCCCTTCTTTCTCTTTCTTTCTTTCTTTCTTTCTTTCTTTCTTTCTTTCTTTCTTTCTTTCTTTCTTTCTTTCTTTCTTTCTTTCTTTCTTTCTTTCTTTCTAAGATTTAGAAAAAAAAACCAACAACTTCTGAATTATATACATAGGCATGTCTGGATGTGGGGATGTGCATGTGAGTGCAGTGCCTGTGAGGGCCAGAAGGGGGCATGGGTCTCCTAGATGCTGGCGTTACAGGCTGTTGTGAGCCCCCTGATGTGGGTGTTGGGAACGGAGCAAGAGCATCCTAAACTCTTTCCCACTGAGCCATCTCTCCAGCCCATGTGGAAGCCTCTTCACTGGCCATTTACAGCTTTGTGCTTGGAGCGGGTGAGGTGTGCGTCGGGGTTTCCCAAGCTACACGTGGCTCCCAGCGTGCCCCTGGCCCAGGATACTCCTTTTCCAGAACAGACTTGCCAGGAGTCTCCTGAGACGCAAGGCTGTAGGCCTTGGTTTCGATCATGGGACTGGACTGTCCTCTCATACTTGCTTTGTAGCCCCCCTGGTTGATGCTGCTTGTTTGTGTCTGCTGGCTGACTCCAGGGCCATCTGTAACCCACATCAACCCTGATGCTTTGAAGTTCAATGCGTAATAAAAAGTTCATTAAAAGATGCAGGATCATGAAAATGAAGTTACAGAAATATTAACAAAGGACCATTTCCTGCTTCCGGTACTTTTCCTTTTTTTTTTTTTTTTTTTTTTTAGTATTTCTATGAAGAATTTATGTCACCATTAAAACCATGGGGAGGTTAAGGAAGGGCAGACCTGGGCCACAGAGAGGGTGAAATTCCTCAGGAAATAGAATGACAGAAACCCAGTCTGTTGTCTTCGTTGAACACTCAGGATATGAGGGAATAATTTAACCCGAAAAAAAGTAGAAATGGGTCTACAATTCCTGTGACCAGTGGTTTGAATTCAGCATTTTCTCTTTTTGAGACAGGGCCTCACACCCTAGGCCAGCCTTGAATTTGCTTTGTAGCTGAGGATGACCTTGAATTTCTGATCCTCCTGCCTGCCTCCCCAATGCTGGCATGTGTCATCAGTCCTGGTTTGTGTGGTGTTGGGGACCAACCTCATTGCTCCAAGCACTCTATCAACTGAGCTGCTTCCCCAGCCTCCTAATCCAGTGTGAGTTTTTGCTGTTTTGTTTTTGATTTTTTTTTTTTTTTTGGTTTTTCGAGACAGGGTTTCTCTGTGTAGCTTTGCGACTTTCCTGGATCCCGCTCCGTAGACCAGGCTGGCCTTGAACTCACAGAGATCTGCCTGGCTCTGCCTCTCGAGTACTGGGATTAAAGGCGTGCACCACCACCGCCCGGTGCTGTTTTGTTTTTGAAATAGGGCTTTACTACATAGACCAGGCTGGCCTCAAACTCAGAGTTCCATCTACCTCTGCCCCCCAAGTGTGGGGACGAAGGGCTTGAACCATCACCTCTGGCCCTGAATTCAGTGCTTTTAATAGAAGTGGTGGTGTGGAGAGTGTCGACGAGGACTGCACCCTAGCCTCTGGGCAGCGATGGTGCTGGAAGAAGTCTGCCATCACTGAGGAAGAGGAGAGCTGGGAAGGGAGATGAAGAGGAGAAAGAAGGAAGCCAAGAGAAAGAGGGGTTCAGGGCTCAGGTGACAGATCACCGAAGGTGCCTCTAGCACCACTAGTGGCTTGTCCACTGCCACACTGGCTCACCCTCCTGTTGTGCCCCTACAGGAACAGAGGTCAAGAGCAAGGTCTCCGGGGGCGTCCTGGAAGTCCCAACAGTGCAACCAGCCCCTGGCATGACTGGACAACTTCCCTTTTCTCCCTGAGTTCTTGTCTCAGGTGGCCATAGGAAGCCATTTGATGAAGTGGAAGTTCCCTAGGGCTCAAGGTGCTGAGACTTCTCAGGTCCACCCATTGCTGAGTGGCAGGGCCAGGCTTCTCCCTTCATCCCGTGTTATTCTTGCTGGCCACACTTCCTTATTAAAGAACAGCCATTCCGGTCCATACATGGTCATTTGCCAAACGGGGCCACTATCAACACCTTTACTTCCTGGCAGCCTTACACACACACACACACACACACACACACACACACACATTGTACTCTGGGATCCAAAACACAGCTGTCAGAGCTAACATCTTGGAGTATGGCCGCTCACTAGCTCTCAGGCGTGGAATGGCCTGCTTTTGCACAGATTCTAGTTGCTTGAGCAGAGCACACACCCTCACAGAGCATACACTTAACAAGAGCATTCTTGCACACCTCTGTTTTGCAGGGCAGGTCTCCCTAGAGACTCCTTCACTTACGTGGCCACTGACGACCACTTAATTACTATTTGCATCCGACAGTAAGCAATTATGTGGTTATACCTGCCTTCAGCCAGAGGTCACTGCACATACACTCAGCAGCTACTAAATCTAGGACCTAACAGTGACAGTCCTGGACCTCGTCAAGTGACGGAGGCCTGCAGGAGACTGCAGGTCTAAGAAACAGCATCACGTGGTGTTCTGGGCTGTGCCACAGCCGCCGCCGCCGCCGCCGGCTCCTCCCGGAGCTGGACTTACCCTCTCTCTGGAAGCCCGCCTGTAGTTGAGTGTCATGAGTTCTGCAAACCTCTGCTCATACAGGTGAAGTAGCAGTACCAGGTACAAGCCGGAGTTCATCAGCCTACTCTGGACCTGCATGCGGGAGAGAAACCCGGAAGTTCATCCACAAAAAATCCACAGGCTCAGCCACGGCGCGGCAGGGAGATAGGGGAAAGAGCCCACGTCCAGAAAAAGGCCGGCCTGGGGACCAGGAGACAGAGCAGGAGGAGGCCTGGGCCGAAGGAGCTCGGCCACCTTCCTGCAGTTCTCTGCTACGAAGGGGAGGAGGCTCTGAGAAAGTTCCATTGTCCAGGCTAAATCCCATCCCACGGACATTTGAGAGGATCCACTGAAACCAGTGCTGTGGGGTGCACAGGGCAGAATGCCTCAGAGCTTGCTGGTGGGACCCTGTCACCCCATGTCAGGGAGAGAGCCACAGACACCTACGGCGGAGGTCTGCTGAGGGCAGGAGGCTGGCTGAGTGGACATTGGAGGGAAATGGCTGTGATGGGAGGTGGTGGGAAGTGTTAATGACAGAAGGGTGTGTGTGTGTGTGTGTGTGTGTGTGTGTGTGTGTGTGTGAGAGAGAGAGAGAGAGAGAGAGAGAGAGAGAGAGAGAGAGCGAGCAGGGCATGCAGTGGGTAAAATTCTCTCCTGGCTGGTATGGCTAGAGTATGTTGGCAAGTGTTTGCTTTGCCTTCTTAAAAAAATGTGCTTATTCTTTGAGTATTCCATACATGTACACAATATATTTTGCTCATGTCCACCGCCCCCACTCTCCTCCTTCCAGACCCTCCCCTGAACCCCTTTCTCAACTTTATGTCCTTTTCTTATTTATTATTTATCTTTTATAGCTCACCGAGTCTTTAGCTCCTTGATTGCACTACACGGCCCTTCCCGAATCATCCCTCCCAGGAGCACTAGTAAGGGGAGGAGGGGGACACCCATCTGTCCTCCCACCAAATCCCATGGGTGGTGGTGTTCCAGGATGGGTCAGCCTGTGCTTGGGGAGCCACCCAGCCGCTGGGGACTAAAATCCTCACAGGGGTCAGGACCCTTTATAGCATCCTTGGGAAGGGTCAGAACTGTTGCCAGTGCCCAGGTTAACAAAGCATCACCGTGACGGGGGGGGGGGGGGGGGGCGCACCTGGGGCAGCTCATCTTCTTCCTGCAGCTGCAGATGCGCTCCCTGGCCATCCCCCTGTTCCTGGCTGATCAAGGGCAGCTCAGGAAGTTGGCGCAGAACTCAAGTCTCCAAGGACCCAGTGGCCTCCAGGAAAGGCCGGCTCAGAGGCTGAGCAGGTATCTCCATGCCCTTCCCTGTTATTAGGCCATCTCCGGTTCTTGGTGTGACAAGTGACCTCAAGGTCACTGTGCAAGACTTCTGTACTCTCCTGTCTTTCAAGACTGAAACTCACTCTCCAAAGCACTTAGACTCCTATTTTTAGCCTTTGTGTGTGTGTGTGTGTGTGTGTGTGTGACCTCAACTCAAAACAGGCATCTTTCCCCCCTCATATTTTCTGTTTTATAATCTTCTTCCGTTCCCTATCCACAATCCTCATAAGTCGATGTGTACTGCCTCCTTTTTCAGTACCATCTCTAGAGCCGCCTCCTCCAGGAAGCCTTCCCACTGCGTGTTCCTCCACTCGAGCCAAACCGCCTTACCCCTCTCTCTGCTAGAGGGTTTTCTCTCTTTGCCAGGGGTGGAGGGGCTTTCAGAGCAGACTCTCTGGCAAGAAATGGCAAAGCAACCCGCTAGCTAGAATGGCTGGGAGCGACTGGGCTTGTCAAAGCATTCAGGAAAAATCATTTACTATTATGGCTCAATGAGGCCTGGAGGCATGCAGATGGGAAAAGACCCACCAGTGTGTTCGGCAGATAATCTGAAAAGTCACTTCTAGTAGATCACGCCTCTTCTCTGTTCCGTGGGAGGGAACCTGCCACGCCAGCCATAAATAGCCTTTGCATAATCAGCTGCTGACACAGGCGCTCTGACCAATCAGGGAGGCGTGTTGGCAGGTGATGGGGAGCCCGCCCTTCTGTCCACTGCAGCGCTTTGTTCACAGGGTTCCAGGAACTACATTTTGAAGAGTTATTTACTGGTGCCATTCCTGACCCAATGACATCTCACTCCGACTCCCATGTGGAGTTCCCTTTGTTACCGGCCTGACGGG